CTACTCCTATTTAACCATACCTTAAAAACTGAATGAGAGGTAAAAAGCTTAAAACAGCTAGGGGACATTTTTATTTTTCATTTTTGATATTGACGTTGAAGTGGAAGCCTACTAAATTCATTTATTTATATTGAATATGATATAAATGTAGGGTTCTGCTTCTTACATAGTATACTGTAGAAAATAGTATACAAACAATTTTAAGTGACATTTGAAACACTGTCACAGAAATATTCTGTGCAAAACTGACGCAGATCCAACAACTGCTGCAAAACAATCTGGTTTCCTCACAAGAACAGGCTTGCTGAACTGAAAATCGTTCATGGTATGGATTGGATTTTGTGACAGAATCAAGAAATCCTTGAAGTGGAAATATGACCTCCAGAATGAGACCTTCATAAGAATGTGTCATTTTGCAGTGCTGAGAAGGGAGCGTAGGTATAATCACATGGTATGGATTGGACAAAAACTAAACTTTACCGTGAAATTCCACTAGAAATTCATCCAAGCCTGCATATGTGAGGAAAAAACGTTATTCAAAACTGTGCTACTATACATGAGTTGACATTGAAAACTCACTTGTAGAAGAGGCATTTGCATATGTGAGAACAAGAAAGAAGTAAAAGCAAGCAAAGATTGTTTTGTCTCTTGAAGGGTGCCATTAACAGAGAATGGACTAATAAAATCAGTGTGCTCCATCTGAATTAAAAACGAACAAATCCTTTGCAATAACTGTAGCATATACAAGAATGTGCTAGCCTTCTGCTGATGAGTTGAATACCATGGCAGAAGTTTTCCAGGGTTATTGTTTATTTGAGTCCTTTTGTCTGGCAGGACAACAGTTTGCCCTCATTGAACTTTGGTAGTCATCTAAAACAGCAGGTTATCACTCCTATGGCTTCCGAATGTCCACTCTTCCTCCTGTCAGGTCACTAACAGCTCATTGCTGAGCACGTGTTCCTGTTGTGAAGATGGGTGATGACTGGGCAGCAAGATCACCTAATCCAGGTGCTGCCTTGGCTAGACACAGATTTCACACTGCACCGTTTCTTCACGATCATGTTAATGTAGGCTTTCATGATCTTGGTGATCTCCCCAACCTGAAACAACACACTCATCAATTCCTGCTGGAAACTTCTTAGAACAGCAAAACAATTAACTGCTTTGTAATTGGATACATCATGTTGAACATGTTATTTTCTCCAACTAGATACAATATGGTTACTTTTATATATAATGTTGCACATGAACAATAATTATTCACAAATACTTATCTTTAATTTGTACATAACAACAAATGAATGAGCTGAAACAAATTCAAAAAGGACTGAATGATTTTTTATGGCAACAGATGCAGTTAAAAAATTAATAAAAACAACAAAAGTAACATAATACAATGTCTATAAAGTCAGTATTTGAGGCTGCCATGGCAATTTGTATGTTTAAGACACACTTACACTTAGCTTAACTACACTTACACTTAACTACTGCACGTTGAGTAAAGATTTAATGCAAATAGAATAGACAATCATATCAATTTAGAAAACACACATCTAATGTAATTATAAATGCAATGGAAAGACCTATTGAAACCCTTACCTGTGGGGTCTCAAAGAACATCTCCCTCTCATCCACAGTAATTTTGTAGGTGCTAGCCTGGGGTGCACCGAAGAAGACAATGTGCTCGTAGGGAAATGTCTCCAGAGGCTTGGGCTCTCCTCTCTTGTATACCGAGACATTCTCTGCACTCACTCCCAGCCACAGGTCATGGGGGAAACCTCCTTCCTTACACTAGATAGAAATACAAAACTCTGTTTTTAGGAAAGACAGCTCTCCTGTATTCTACAGACCAGCATAACTAGCCAGTTCAAAATGAGCTTTGGCTCTTTTAGGAATGAGGTTTATATAATCATATATGAATAAAGAAACTCAATGCAGCAACTCTCCCATTATTTCAAATAAAATGAATATGCAAATATTTAGAGGCATTGACTAATTAATTGGCAAAAGTGACATACACAAGAAAGCTAAACGGACCCCAGATTAGTTTAGGACAGATCTGGTTGGGTGAATCAAAAGAAAAAGGGAATATCCACGAAAAAAGCAATACCTCCAATATGGAGTGAACTATAGTACACACACTGAAACCACCTAAGGCTTACCAGAGGATACAGTTACAATAGTATGGCATATGTAGTATTTTTTAACAAATTCAGCAAATGAAAAGAAACAAAAGACCAAGGAATTAAACATGGAAATTATTTGGTCTAATACCAAATATCCATCCGTATGAACAAAGAAAGGCCTGGAACTCACCTCCACGTCAAAGAGTGTGGAGCCATATCCTGGCCATTCCATGATGATGGCCATGTACTTGAGCATGGCCTGGTGCTGTTGCAAGCCCTGCAGCCTTGACCACTTCTCCATCACGCTGGCGCGGGTGGCCGACAGCTCTTCCTTCACCCACATCTCCAGCATCTGTTCCTCTTCCACGCGCTGCTTTTTCATGGTTCCTGTCTTAAAGCTACGCCGCAAGGTTCCCTCCAGGAAGCTGGTTCTCCTTCTCTCCAGGGTGTGTCCACTGGAGCCTGCACCACTGCCCACCGCACCACTGCACTTGGTGGACTGCAGGATGCGGCTGCGCAGGCGACCCACTGGGTAGATGTTGTCCAGGCACCAGCCCGACCGGCCTACGTCCCCATGCAGGTACTGAAGCCGCAGGGCAGCCAGGTGCTGGAGTGTCTCTTCTGGAGCGGGGAAGTGCCCACTAATCAGGCTTTCATGGGCCTATGACAAAGAACGGGAGAAATAATGGGTCATTAGGTTCATGAAAAAAAAATAAGGAATCCTATTTTTTTTTGTTGCTTTGTTGTGGTGTAATACCGAAGTGCCTCCATGTCTATGCATTTAACTTTTCCAGTAGTTTTCCAGTAGTTTTTTTTCCAGTAGTTTTCCAGTAGTTCTGTGGCATGCTCAATTTCTCTTGCTTGTAGTTACCAATAAAAAAATAGATACTGCAGTCATAAGCAAGCATATGCATGGAATCCTCACTCTATTAAATGTGTCAAAAAATTTGGCAAAATGCTGTGTGAACGGAACATGTTTACAAGTCTTCAAACAAAATGAGTCCTCTGTACTTTCACAAATAAAGGAAAATGGCAGATGGCAAAAACATGCCCTCTTTTGACAAATTCATGAAAACAATTGGAATACACATGGCATTAAAAGCATACACGCTGCTTCATCAAACCCATGTGATTTCTAAGTCACAGAATTTCTGAAGTATTGTTTTATTACTATCATTATAGCCCTGACAGAGAATAACAGATAAGCAAAAGATGCAAAATATTTATCTTGGATGTTAAGTTTTTGGAATAATTATGACAACAACAGGTTGTTCATCCTCTAAACCAACAGTCATGTCATAATCACATCTCATTATGCATTTGGTCCATTCAGGAACCACTGTATTAACTCTCCAAAATGACAGACGCATGTTAAATTATCCTGCAGAATGCAAAGTTTTGAAAAATGACTACATTGGATAAAATCGTTTGTGGATCTTGCCAAGTAAGTACTTAATGTTATTTTGATATTTTTTACAGCCCTTTAAATTGGCCACTGGGACTCACCTGCTCAAACATGAATGCAAACTCTACGCCATCCTTGGGAACACTCTCCACATCCAGGAAGCAGTAGAGTTTAAAATAGAGCCTCCACTGTCCTTCCTCCTCCTCTTCCTCAGTGCCCGCCAGTCTGTTTAAACATCAGAGACAAGTCAATTATAATGGTTCATTTACTCAGATGCTGGCTTCATTCTGAGTCTCGTAAAAGATACCCTAAGGATAATAAGGCAAAATATTGTGTAACAAATTATAAACAAAATGTCCAAGGAATTACTTGCTAAGTAATCTAAAATAATGTATACAATTAATTTATATACCAATCAGCTATTTTTTAATATGAAAAGGCATTTTGAAAAGTCTCAACCTGACCAAAAGAGTTGAGGTTTATAAAATGCAATGCTTTGTAAATCATCAGGGAATCCTTATACATACAGTAGAAGCCTAAGAAAGATCAGTTAGAGTACTACCCCACATTAAGCCAAGAGTAGAACTCCTCTGATTAATTTCTGCCAAAATATTCAATACAGAGAGAGTGCTCCAATATGGCACTACAGAAAACATCCTTCTACTAACAGATTTCGCTGAGGAATTGTCAGGATCTCCATTGCATGCAGATAAGAGATAATGAGTACAAAGTTCAATGCTCACAACCTACCTCTCAAACTTTGCCAGTACATCGGCCACGATGACACGACTCTCCACTGCTCTATCAGTGGTGTTGTTGTGCTCAAACAGGGCAAACATGTTGCGGCTGTCCTCCATCGCCAGGCCTCGGATCAGTTTCTCCACAACCTGAGGACAAACAGTACGAACTCTTTCTGTCACCACTTATAGACTTGCTATTGGACTTGAATCAAGGGAGAATTATATGTTTTATTACTGCTGTTGAACAAGAAGTACACATTTGATTTTGAAGAAGATATTTCTGTCAATTTTTTGGAGTGGTGTTTTGCTTTTTAAAACAGGGTTTTCCTCAACAATTCCTTAACATTAAGGAGAAAACAGACATAGCAATAGCTATTCCAGTATTTTTAAAAAATATTTTATACATTATTTTGTACATTAGCAGGTATCCAAACCACTTTCTGGAACAAGGCATCTTTTCAGAATGTGGACTGGGAATGTACTTCAGAAGTAAACCATTTATGTATCCCACAAGACTGATACTCACAAACGAATTTAAAGTGAATGTTGGGGCATACTTATATTTATGAGAATATCAACTTGTGTTCTTCTTAGACATAGATCTGTGAATTGAGAGCAGTGGAGTGGAGCAGTATAAACCAAATTTTGCTTTTAAATCCTCCATGATGTTTTAAAAAAATCCTCATTTCTTTCACCTTATAAGATAACGGGATGGTATAAAACTCGCCACACTTGTAAAGGGGAAGTGAAGAGATGCTGTTAATGACATGTAAGTGGACGTACTTCCCCAGCAGTAGTATGGGAGTTGATAGTGATCTTGCAGGAGCCTCCTCCATGGCAGTACACAGTGGTTGTCATCTCTTGCCTGGTGAGCAGTGCTGCAATCTCTTCTTGCGAGGGAACAAACTCTCGTGTCTTGGTCTTCTTCAGGGACTCGCCAATGAAAGTGGCATACTTCTCTATTTCTGTCCCTGCAAACTGCTCCTTAATCCTGGGGCAGAAAAGAAGACATAGCATAGGAATGAGGACTCCTATCCTGGAGTACCTGCACTGGCTTCCTGTCAAATTCCGTGTGGACTTTAAAATCCTCATGCTCACCTACAAGCCCAGCATAGCTTGGCACCTCAGTACCTGTCTGACAAATTATCGCCCTACTCCCCATCTTGCAACCTTACCTTCACTCTTCTAAGTCTGGTCTCCTTACTGTCCCCCAAGCCCGTCTACATTGTATGGGTGACAGGGCCTTCTCCTGTTATGCCCCCAAGCTCTGGAACTCTCTGCCCAAGGATATCAGAGAGTCACCTTCTCTAAACTTCTTCAAATCCAGACTCAAACTCTTCTTCTTTAGAAGAGCCTTTACTTAACTGATTCCATTCTTCATCCCTCTGCTTTTCCTAGTACCACCATCCACGGTCTCCTCTGTATATTGTAATTGTGTTTTATCTTGTGTATTCTTTTTATTTATTGTTGTTCTCATTCTGTAAAGCACTTTGAGAAGCCACCTTTGAAGGCACTATATAAAATAAAGTTGTTTTTTATTATTATTATCGCAAAAGGACAAAGAAATCTGACCCCAAAGTTCACAAAATGTAAAGCAGCAGATGAAAGCACCTGAATATGAAGGCGTGCTGTATCAGATTTTTTGATCTGCTAGTCAAAGTCACAGCTAGTAGTTCTTTTTAGTTTTCTTGAGATTGAGACATACTCTTTGTATACATGCATGGTAGGAGAATGAATAGGATGAAGTACACATTGTTCTTGACATCGAACCTGAAAATGTTGCCTATTGCACAGGTTCAGAATACATCTGTCTGTGAGTTGCAATGCAACAGAGAGCATCTAGACGGAAAGACGGATCTGACCTCTTCAGGTGGAACTTGAGATAGCGCAGGATGGCGCGACTGGGCAGGAAGGTGCAGCTCATACAGGTGAGGAGGTGCCAGTGGGCGCGGTTGGCTGCGCTGTTAGGCTGGGGCACATGGTTGGTCTGCTTGATGAGTTGGCAGTAGACTTCATCTCTCAGTGGGCGCAGATCCTGGCAAGTCTGCAGGATGCCCTGGATAATTGGCACGGGGTCCGACACAGTCTCCATTTCCTGCAGTGAGTTGAACATCTTCACCGCCTCATCCTGCAAACTGGCGTAGCCTTTCTCCTTTTGGACTAGCAAGGAAAAACACACAGGACAGTGTCATCTGCAGATGATGGCAGTCTCTTTGATATTTTTTGCCGATTGCTTGATGATTACATGGGGCATTATGTCTAATTATCAAGTTTTTTTTACACACTGATTCAATGTACCATCTTGGATAACTGCATAAAAATAATGACTTGCTTTTACAATCATTTTTTTATCATTACATAACAACCATGAATTTGAGCATTACCATATTACAGTTACCATGTTTTTAAAACACAGTGCTAAATCATGATTATGGTAGTACAAATTTCAAATATTTTCTCAGAACAAGAGAAAAAATATCTAACCATAATGCATTTAATTAATTCTGGGAAAAAATCTTCACTTCCAAGTACAAAGAATCAATTCAGCTCTTTCTAAATAATAGGGGTGGCTCTTGGTACAGCTCAGAATTTTATTTCAGGAGCTCTATAGGTGTAAAATCATTGACTATCAAAGTCTAAAAATGTAAAAAAAACTAATGAGAAAATGACACAACAGTTTAAATGAATGTCATTTACTACACAGTACAAGTGCAGAACAAGAGTAACTCAGACAAGATAAGACTCACGATTCAGGTTAATGTCTCCATAGGGAAGGGGAAGTAGAGGGGAATGCAGAGGATGCTGGGTATATCGGAGGATAGGGTTCCTTCTGTATGTCTGTTCTACAGCGTCTGAGTTCAAACTATTCTCCTGGAAAAACAAGGGTAAGCACTGGGATTAGGAAAATATACAATATCTATTTCTTTGGTCAAGCTCTGCATGTGACTTTACTAAACAACATTTGGTGAGAAAAACACCTCAATCTGACAGCCCCAGTCTGAAATGCAATTATCTGCACACAGAAGTAAATGATAAGGGAAAGAAACAGCACACCATAAGAATCTATGTCATGAAAAACACATTTCAGAGTCTTTTTCATAGCCAAGCTGACAAATCTTGGATGTGTATATATACTAGAGCAGCAAAACAAAACACAGCAAACAGAATTTCATTAAATATGGTGACTTTTAAATGTCAAATACTGTAGCTCTTGACAATGCTAATTCAGATGCAGACACACCTTTAAAGGAGAAGTGAAGAGATATAGATTGAAAGAGTATTATTGACTTGTTTAAGGCACACAGAGAGATTACAGAGCCTCATCTCAGCTCCAGGTACCTGATTAACTACAGCACTTCCTTTGTGACAAATAGGGGTGGCATAGGAGTGCGGCTCCACAGCTGAAATGAAGAGGTGTCACGTGCAATGTGAATTAAGGTCAGTAATGTCTGCCTTAATTCATTTGCTTATACCACAAAGGATCATACAAAACACTCTCACAGTCTGAGATACAGGAATGTTTTAGTAAAAGGTTTTTAGTGTAATGTTGGAAAATAATCCTATCTAGAAATGGCCAATTTCCCATACATGGGAAAATTAGGAGTCATGGCTTCCTAATAATCCCCATCTATGAATTGGAAATTCATCCTAATACATGGGAAAATTAGGAGTCATGGCTTCCTAATAATCCCCATCTACGAATTGGCTTCATTACTCTGTTTTCTTCCCCACTGATAGCTGATGTGTTGTGAGCGTACTGGCGCACTATGGCTGCCTTCACATCATCAAGGTGGGTGTTGCACATTGGTGGTGGTGGAGGAGAGTTCCCATTACCTGTAAAGTACTTTGAGTGGAGTGTCCAGAAAAGCACTATACAAGTGTAAGCAATTATTATTATTATTAAAACCTCTGAGCAAGTACCCATTGTCATGGCCATATGTGCATGATCTATTCCTTTCAAAGGGGACAAATGTGCCTTTTGCCACTGTTTCCAACTATAGTATCTCAATGTTTTATGTTTAGTTTTCGTCAAAGCATTCTGACAATTAAACGTTCCGGAAAATTCACATTAAGATGTTTTAATTAGATTCTAGGATGTTTTGGATTCCTGTCTAGCCCCTGACAATTTCATTCCTGAGATCAAGCAATAAAAGATTATGCTACCTATAATTTATCCGATAATCAGTTTCAAAGTAAAACCAATTATGCAGGAATTTGGAATTTTAAAAGCAACACACTTGGGTGGGCTTTGACTTCATTGTTAAAAGGCATGTGAAAAGATAATATATTACACTATGTTTCTGCCTTAACATTAGCTGGCAATGTTCTGGGTTAAACAACAACGGTATGGTCACTATAACGACAAACTGACGTTTCAAACAATTGAAGGATTTAAAAATTCAATTAAAACTTTGAAGTGAAAAAAAAATTCAGTCTGTGAACAAATAGCTGACTTCTTCCTGGATACTTTCTCTAGAATCTGGCACCAATTACTTCAGTTTAAGGAGCCCTGCAAAACAAACCCCCACTTCATTGTGTGTGCTGTCTGACTCTCTGCCTTCTCCTACTTGCTGTTTGTTATACTTGATGATGTAAAAAAAACTTATCAACTGAGAGGTACTACTACTTTGGATCCTTCAAT